GGGCTACATCCGTGTACTTTTTATCTCATATGTGATGATATAAGCACTAGTATTTGTGCTCATTCTTAGAGGTACATCAAGCAGGGCTTCTCTGACCCATTTTAAAGCAAACCCATCTACACTAAGATTCCCTTTGCGGTCAGAGGAGAGACATAGGTATTTCCAGGGAGTAATTTCTCTCTTTCTACAGCATATCTTCAGAACAGATTATATAACTTCCTGGCAGCATCTGTTTCTTTCCAGCTACTGGAAAGGATGTGTGGGTGACAGGCTCAAATGCAGATATCTGCACTGTAAACATCAAGGGTGTGGATTCATCTCACCCTGATTTTAGGGTGTAGGGTAATTGCCCTGACCAGCCTCCCACAAGACTCTCAGACATCTATCCTGTACTCTTTGTAGCAGGGTCTGGTGTGAACTCAGGCCCTGGTGCCCAGCCTTTTTTCCACTTACATTGTAATTTTGCTATGCCCTGATGATCCTTACTTACTCTCTTGACTCTCCACATTGACTTCGTACTAGCTCCTTGCCTGCTGATTGATTCAACCGCCTCAGCTACAATGCCATTTGGTGTTGACTATCCTGTTTAGCCTTGAGCTGATGCTCCAGTAGTCTCCCACAGGTCCTACACCAGCCCCACGAGGATGTCACAACAATCCACAGGGATCTGAAATTGTGCCAGACACTGATGGGCAGGTAGCCTCAGGTGTCTAAAGCTAGGTGTCTAAAGCTAGGTGTCTGCATGGGAGCTAGGTACCTAAACTCTCAGTACAGTCAGTAAGGATCTAGACCATACAGTTAGTGGAGTCTGGAGAGCAATTTGGCTGACCAGATGTTGGTGTCTACTTCAGAGGGAGAGTAGCTTGCTAGGCTCTACCAGCTGTATGGGTTCAGTCTTCCTTGGCTGCCACTGGAGTTTCAGCTGTATATCACATCCAGGCACTATAATTCAGGCAAGCTAAATCCCACCCATGGTTACTAGAAAGAGAAGAAATAAATACATTATGAGAAAAATATGAAAATGATCACTCTTTGTGTTAAACATTACGATTTTCATCTGAGAAGTATAGAAAGGGAAAAGCTTTGTGGATATTTAAGGCTCAATCACTGTGTCTGTACATGCAATCACATACACCCGGTGTATTATATAAACTCTCACAAAACACATCCCTTGTTTACAGTCAACAGGGACACACTCATTGTATACAATATGTTTTTTGTTTCTGTAAAGTGTAAATGTGGAATTATAAATAATAATTTGGGATATTTCCCACATGTTTTTCTGCATTCTCAGTTTCTATCTTTACAAGTAAATGAAAATATCAGTAGTATAAAATAATGATCTCTTTTTGCTCCATCTCCTTTGCTCAGTTCTACAGTATTGTTATATCCTCCTCTGTTGTCATAGAAATGATTGATATGTTCAGTCACAGTGTTCTTGCCTCTACATATTATCCTTTAAACCAGACTCTAAGTTGGGTTTTTGATATTTTGGGTTATGTTCTGAAGAGACAAAAAAAAAAATCAACCAAATCAAACCCAAAAACCTTTGGCCTGAGGAGACTGAAACTAATTCAAAAGATAAAGCTACATATATTAATACTGTGAATATCCATGATTTTATTCTAAGCCTTGTGACATTTTTATTAACCCCTGACTTTGGCAAGTGTTGACTTTGTGAGAATCTTAGCATCTTCTCATGCAAAACAAGTATTTGCATTGTTTAAAGCTTCCTAGCTATGAAACTTAAAAACACAAGGGCAAATTTAAAGAGGAGGGGGCCCTGTTGATTTTAGGGGGAATTAATTACGATTTTTGCAGATTTGAGTTTCCCTCTCAAGAAAGCAGAAGAAAAAAAGAACTAGTCAAGCTCTTGTTTGACATGATGCAATATCTCAGAACTTAGTAATGCAAGCTGGCTACTTCCAGACAGATGTCCATTCCATGGCAGTTTATCACCCCAAGAAATACCCTGGAGCTGCCTGGGCTTCTTTTCCACTGGCTTCCACTTCCCTCCAGCAGTGCCTACAGGGATATGGCACCAGACACATCTCCATTTCCCTTCGTCTGGACAATAAGTCTTGGGGTTTTTTCTCCCCCCCCCCCCCCCCCCCCCCCGTCCTCTGCCCAGAGCCCCATGAAGGCCTCTACATGGTCCCCCATGCATCCTCTGTGCAGGAGAGAGGGCTTTCTGTTCATCTAAGGCATTTGCAACACTCGAATGCTTTCAGCTCTGAGCAAAGCAACACGAGTCGAGTCTTGGGAAAGGGGGCTGCATGGCTTTGAACCTAGGAACAGGGCGGCCCAGCCAGACAGAAGGGGCTTTCAGTGCAATTGCGGCATGGCACGGAAGAACCTCGAAGCTGCCACTAAATCTCTTTCTCAATCTCTCACCTTTTTGGGGGACTCAGTATCATGATGCTGCCTGTAATATCGATTTCTAGCAAATGCCACTAGGTGGCTCGAGATGGAACCTCTGCAGGCATCAGCCTTCAGTGGAATGTGCGCGTGTGGGGGGCAGGAATTTGGGAATTGTCCTTTGGGTGGTGCACACCACCCTCATTGCTCTGTGATTTTCAGATCTTGGTTGCAGATGCTGAAGGAGGGAAAGAGGCATCCCAGCAAACTGTCTGAAATGGGAACGAGCTCATTCTCATTTCTCACGTGAAATGAAACACCGGGAATTTTCTCCTGATTTATTCCTTGAGAATTAGGACTAGTGATAGCCTGGAGTCTAGTAGTACTCCTTGGAATACCAGTCATGCCCCGTTCCCCCCACCTGTCCGAAAAAAATGTGTATTATTCTTCTCTTTTAAGATTTTATCAAAGGCAATTGTTACCATCATCAGGGCTTATTTTGACCCAAGTTTGCCTTGAGAACCCACTATGGATGAGAGGTCTGAGTTTAACCTACTGGAGGAGAGAAGGGTTTTCCCAGGCCCAGCAGATGACAAGGAAGATCACCACAAGCATTGGTTTTATGCCTGTCACCCTTCTGACCTCTTTCAGGGTATGCCCTGAAGTAATCAATTACTACTCATTTCTTGCTTCACTCTGTACCAAACCTCTGTGTTTTCTGCCCATTCTTGTTCACTCTTATTCCAGAGTGCTTCTTGTTTTGTCCTTCCCTCCATGCATGGGGCTTTATGTGTTTGCCTGCAGCAGGAGCTCTGCAGGCATCTCTTACTTCTTTTCCAGACAATGCAATTCCACATCCCAGGAGGGCTGTGACCCTCTTCCCTTTCCCTCACTGATACCTGTCCAGGCATCAGACCTGCAGTTTGGCACACACACCCTGCGACAGTGGTGGGGCATCTCCCACCTGCCACCCACCCTGAGCTCCCCCAGCTGCCTGGGGTTCATGTGAGAGGATGCTGTGGGCAGGAGCTGGGAGGAGAAAGGAAGGTGGGATGCACTACTTAGCCCTGCCTGGAAAACCTCACCCTGCTGCTTGGGGAAGCCAGGGCTGAGTTAGTCAGGGAGCCAACACCTCAAAGGCAAGGAGGAGGAGGGGGAAAGAGGAGATAGAGGCATTGTTGAGCAAGAAGGTGCAAGTGGGTGCCATCAGCCAGTTGTTTGAACTAAAAACAACTGCAGAGATGCCGGGAGCTGTAGCTATGCTAAACAGTTGGCCCATCCCCCTCCTATGGTGCTTCCATTCTCCTTTTCCTCCTCCACACTCAACAGGGCTTTGGCCAGCAATACATTTTGGATTTCATTAGAAAACAACGTATATCCTATGAAATTCAGGCAGGCAAGCACAGCAATGCTGGCAAGTCAAGCATGTGGTCTCACAGGCCCTGACAGCAAGTCAAATGTATCCCCCCACTCCCTTACTGCCCTTAAAACTCCTCATTTAGGGCAAGAGGCAGTAAAAGTGAGCAACACCAAACTACTCATCCGGCTCTTCTACAGTAGAGCATGGAGAGATTTCATTTGGTTTCTGTGCAACAGCTACCAGAGCTCCCAGTATCCATTGAGAATTTAGAGGCTTGTTTTAAAGTGTAAAAATACACTTATTCCCAACATTGCTTTTATCAAGAGAAAAGAGATGAAAAATTAATTCATTAGTCCCACCTAAAGCCCCTTTTCCAGTGTTGGCTCTTGCCTCAGGCTCTGTCCCCACAAATATTACCTACACCCCCCACAGAGGCCTCCTCCTGTCTTCCTCATTTTTAGGGTGGAGGCTAATAACCTCCCCAACCCTGGTAAGTCAGGATTAATTAACCTGCGCATCCCTGCAGGCTTCCAACACCTGCTAATTGAGAGAATCTAGCCAGGCTCTCACGGTGCCTTTTTTTTTTTTTTTTTGCACACAGGAAGTTTTAGCACCTGGAATAAGGGAAGGTTATAAGCCCTGCCTTTGCTTGGGTGCTTAACAGTGAGGGAGAGAAAAAAAGTGGGGATGGAAATTATATTTCATAGCATCTGTTTTAGTTTTATTTTTATTTTTTCATTTTAATTTAGACCAGCAACCTCTTTCGCATGGGACGGGCATCTGCTAGTAAGCAGCCTTGCTGCATGCCATCACCACCTTTCTGAGGCTGGGGGAGGCACTTCTGAGTTCTACCTCTCTGCTAATGGGCACCCCCTCTGATGGCTGGTGGCTGCCATCTGTGGCACATGTTGAAGAGCATGTAGTCAATCACTGCGGGATGGAGTTATCTTGTGCAAGAGCTCTCTAGGGACTGATTTAGGACCACTATAGTAAGGACAGTTAGACCTAATTGGATTTTTTTTCCTGCCAACCTGGGTTTCCAGATGTGACAGGGCAGCATTACTTTATTAACCTAGCTGTGTTCATCCATGCTCCCTGTTACAGAGGAAGTGATTTTTTTTTTCTTGGTGTTGAATCACAGCTTAGTGGGGGTTGTTTCCTGCCAGTTCCTGAACAAGAGCCAAGTGGCCTTCCTTGCCTGCTGGAATTTTACAGCATGCACTGAGCAGGGGTGCCACTCTGCTAAATGCTGGCATTTTTTATTTCAGTGAACACTTCTTGCTATCTCCACTAAAAAGTGACTCATTTTCAGTGGACTGGGCAAACCAGAAAAAAAAAAAAAAACCCTGGCAATATCTTCAGTGACCCATTCAGGTGGATAAACCTTCTAGAAATGTCCCCTCACAGCTAACAGGACACTGGTAAATAACTTGTGTGCTGAAGAATGAAGGTGGTGTTTTGCTGGCTGCCCTCCCACAAGAGCCTCGGCCACAGGTGGAGAATTGTCACCACCCAGCCCTTCCCTGCCCAGACGCTCAGCTCTGTCTTGGTACCAGCTTTGGTGGTCTCTGGGTCCTCCTACAGCCAGATGAAAACTGGATGAAATACAGAGTGGTTTTCTGCTAGCGCTTTGGTCCAACACCTACCAGGCCACAAGGGAGGAGAAATGAGCCCACCCGTTTGGGAAGACGTTTGATCACTGTAGAGCAGCAGCCTCAGTTTGTCTGCCAGTGCCACTCACCAGCCACGCATTCTTTTTCACAGCACCTTTTTGGGAGAGATGAGAAACAAAGGCCCAAGGGGAGCTTAAATAACATGCCAAAGGTCATAGTAAAATAAACCTAGCTTTCCTCACGAGTTTTGCTAGAGTGTTTGTGGGTTTGTGCGTTTCTGTGGGTAGGTTTTACTAGCAGGGGTGGGGGTGGGGGCTACAAGGTTGGCTTCTGTTAGACACTGCTAGAAGCTTCCCCTGCCTAGTAAAGCCAATGCCAGCTGGCTCCAGGACGGACTTCCTGCTGCTGGCCAAGGCCAAGTCAATCAGGAGTAATGGTAACGCCTCTGTGATAACATATTTAAGAACAGAGAGGTATTGCACAGAAAGAATTCCAGCCATGGAAGAGTGGAGTGAGAATGTGGGAACAAGGTAGACACCAAGGTCAACGCAGAAAGAGGGGCAGGAGGTGCTCCAGGCGCTGGAGCTGAGGCCCCTGCAGCCTGTGGTGCAGACCATGGTGGAGCAGCTGTGCCCCGGCAGCCCATGGAGGAACATCGGGGTGCAGAGACCCACCTGCAGCCCACGGAGGAGCCCATGCTGGAGCAGGTGGATATCTGAAGGAGGCTGTGACCCAGTGGGAGGCCCAAGATGGAGCAGGGTTCTGCCAGAGACCTGCACCCCATGGAGGGGGAAGCCCATGCTGAAGCAGGTTTTTCCTGGGTAGGACTTGTGGCCCCTGTGGGGGACCCACACATTCCTGAAGGACTGCACCCCATGGAGAAGTGACCCAGTTTGGGAAGAACTGTTGCCTGTGGGAAGGACTCACGCTGGAGAGGTCCATCAAGGACTGTCTCCCATGGGAGGGACCCCACGGGAGCAGGGGAAGGACTCCTCTCTCTGAGCAGCGGCAGAAAAAACAACTGACCGTAACCCTGACCGTAACCTCCATTCCCCATCCCCCTGCACTGCTGGGGGGGGAGGAGGTAGAGCATGGAAGGAAGGAGGGGTGGGGGGAGAGTGTTTTTAAGATTATTTTATTTCTCACTCTTTTGCTTTCATCCTGCTAGTAATAAAGTAATATCCCCACTTTTAGTCTGTTTTGCCCATGATGGTGATCAGTAACTGACCTCTCCCAGCTGTTATCTCAACTCATGAATCCTTAGCTGTTATTTTTTTCTCTCCTCTGTCCAGTTGCAGAGGGAGAGTGAGAGAGTGGCTTTAGTGGGTACCTGGCATCCAGCCAGGGTCAACCCACTACAGTGTTGCTTCAAAGCAACCAAAAAATGACTTGTATACTATATTCTTTTGGCTAATCCTGTGCTTTAGATAATGGAGAGCTTGGTCCCATTTGCACCGTGACCCACTCCTAGGGCAAAGGAATGTCTTTCAGAGAGCAGAAATTATTTTATGTCATGGCCATTGATCCTTTGCATTCTGCAGTTGTTCCCTGAGGATCTCCACAAGAATAAGTGCTCCATCTTTATCTGTCTGAAAGATCTTTAAGAGAGGCTGAAGGCTTGATTGTACTGTGCACAATATCACTTCAAAACCAGAGCGGAGAGCATCCTTCAGATCAGCATGGAAAATCTGTGTTCTTCACAGTCCAAGCAGGAGTGGTGGTGGCTCCTGCCAACCACAGTGGCTCCAGCAGGATACTTAGAAGAATGCTTAAAAGAATACTCCATCTACCTGCAAACAATTATGACAAAGGCTCTGGAGCAAGAAGGACCACTGGCAATACCATCTGCATAAATATCAGAGGCTTCATTCCCTTGGAGACCCTAGACCCATAGATACACCTGCTTGTGCCTGGTTACTCCTTTCCCCTGGCTTCACACATAATCTCCCTCCTTTTTTTTTTTTTTTTATCCCATCTGCCAGCATCAGGGCAAATCTCCTTTTTTATGGAGAGCAGTTGCCCCTTCCCCACCACCCACCCATCAGCCACAATACCTTTTCCATCCTAAATGTTTCCATGATTCTATATAGCTCTTCTTTCACTAGCAACTGAAGGCTAGTACCAGAGTAGTGGTTCTCCTTATGAAGTCCCTACCTGCCCTCCCACTCACAGTTTCCCCATGAAGCATCATTCCTAGCATCCTGTACTTGGCTTGCCTAAAGGCTGCCGCTCTAACTACAAGACATGCTTCTGGCATTCCTGGGAAGCAAATTACAGTCATGCTGGCAGCTACCCTCTGCCCCTGTCTATTGCAATAGCTCAAGATGATGCCAGCAGGCCCTGGACTGCATTAGGAAGAGGGTCACCAGAAGGTCGAGGGAGGTGATTATTCCCATCTGTTCAGCACTAGTAGACAGACACATCAGGGTGCTGGGTCCAGTACAACACCAACAAGAACTTTCTGCAGTAAGTCAGTAACAGGCCATGAAGATGATGAAGACACTGGTGCATCTAACATCTGAGGAGAGGTTGAGAGAGCTGGGATTGTGCAGCCTGGAAAAGAGAAGGGTCAGGGGTATGTGACCCTTATGAATGAATACCCAGTGGGGTGACTAAAGAAGATGAACTCAGACTCTAAGGGGTGTCCAGTTAAAGGACAAGAGACAATTGGCATAAATGGAAATACAAGAAATACCATTTCAACATTAAAAAAATCCCACACTTTTAGTAAATGGATGACCATCCAAATGGGTTGTGGAGTCTCCATCCTTGGATATACTCAAAATCTGACTGCATCCAGTCCTAAGCAGCCTGCACTAGCTGTCTCTGCTCTGACCAGGCATCAGACTAGACAATTCCCAGAGATGCCTGCCTCCCAGTCTTCACCATTCTGTGATCCTACTTGCTGATTCACATGTCCTGTGGTCAAGCCCAGTACCCTTACCCTCAACCATCTTGATGGAATGGTGTTTGGCACTCCAGGGTGAAGGAACAAATTAGCTCTTCTACAGCAGATACTCAAGAGATAACTGAGCAGCTGAAAAATGCACATCTGATATGGGAGCAGATGAGGAAAAATCCATAGGGTGTTAAGTCCAGACAAGGCATTTGGGATTCCTCCCATCTAACTCTGGACATTTGTAGTGTAACTATTTATGCATGAGTTATGTATCTCCCTTTTGAGTCAAATAGACTCCCTTTTGGCTCCCTTTTTAGTCAATACAGAGAAATAGGCATTTCTAAAAAGCGATTCATGTGACCTATTTCACATGAGATGAATCATGACCAAGAACTGCCTTTCTTTTTCTGATGACTATTATGAAGACAGAGAGACATGAAGAGGTCAAGTTTGGACTTCTATACTGTATATATCTTATGGCATTTAGGATGATTCCCACCTCTGATACTTGTGCAGAAGTCTATCTGTTATTGCCTAGAGTAAATTTTTATGCACCATAAAATGCAGTCAAAATTGATGAATGTCTCTTCGACTACAAAGAGGACTAAACAAACAGACAACTGAAAAGGACAGGCAAACTCCAGAGCACTGAAGATTAAAAGTTCATACAAGCAACCTCGGGGCTGGATGAAATCCTATTTTATTATTCCAAGAGTGAGTGTGTTGGGGTACCGATCAAGGGCACTTTTTAAGTCATGGGACCAAAGTCAAGGACCCTAAACCCAACCCTAAAGATTCCTTGTGTAGCTAGGCTCCTCAGAGTCCAGGGGAGTTTAGAGAACTGATCGCTTGATCAGTCCATGCTACCGTCTCTGGGGTGGACAGAAGAGAGCTGTGGACAAGACAGCTTGGTAAGGATATATCTTAGATCACTCTTTGCAATTGTTAGTCCATATTTCTTTGCATACATCTATCAACAGGATCTTACTGGGGCATATCTTCGCCTCATCATGCTGTTGATTGAACTTCCTTACTTATAAACTATCCTTGGCCTGAAATGACAAGCAGCAGTGACAGGCCTTGGGTTGGGTCAAATGCTTGAAGGGCACTGCAAGAAGACATAACCTGTCTTGTCTTGTCTTTTAAAATATGATGAGGCAACAGAGCATAAAACCATTTTCCCTTTTTGCACTATCTGGCACGCATCTGGACAGTATCTGGACAGAAGACTAATCAAACTTGGCAGAGGGGGTTTGGCTATGCAGAATGATGCCTGAACACACAATAGGAAGCCAGATTGCATAAACACACTATGGTAGTATGGGTGCTGGGGCACAGTGTGGTCCTGGGTGCTTTAGACAGTCAGTCTAGGAGCTTGACCTTAATGTTGTTCCAAGGGTTCTGTGAAAAGGCACTATAGCTCCAGATTTCATCAGACAAGTAATATTTTGGCAAGATTCTTAGCCCCGGGATTTTTCAAAGGAAGCCACAATCTTAGACAGCTGCATCATTTTGGGATGTTAGCAGTGTAGAAAAAGAAAGGATCGAGAAAGGGTATATAAAGTCAACTGCTTGGAAAAATAACATATAAAATGTGAATGAAAATAGTTAATCTCAAATCAGGTATCTCAAATCCCAAACTAGTTCCTGGTATAAAAGAACTTATGACCTCTGATATGGTTTGAAGCTGGCTCCCTGCCAAGTCTCCAAACCTTACCACAAGAAGTCCCCCACACACCCCAAACCTCAGGGAGAAGAGGGAGAAAAACAACCAAGAAAAAACAAAACGAGAGAGAGACAGCTAAAGCAATATATATATAAATTTATTTACACTTACGTTACAGGTATATACAATTGAAATATATATACAGTTTCACAAGGGAAAGGGAAGGGGGAAGGGAAAAGGAACAAACCCAAAATAAAATATATATATATCCCGATTAGTAGCCCAAAATCTAGCAACTAAAAGAGTTAGCAAAGAAGTATCTCACTACTCTCCTTGGGACAACCGAGAGTCACTCTGGAACGATCGCAGGCAACCTCCGTCTCCCAAGGTCGACAAGGCCTTACCAGGCCTCGCTCCCCAACACGGCAGACTCAACAGCAGGGAACCTGCACCTCCAAGCCGCCGGAAGGAAAGAGAGCAAAGGCCTTTCCTCCTTTCTTCTTATAGTCTGGCTTACACAAAAATCATAGGGAATACTGGGTAAATCTGGGCCCTTCCTTGGTTACAAACTGGTCACCAAGGAAGGCCCAGACCAAACTACCACACCTCTGATTTCTCAGCATTTTGATAAAGATGATAATGCTTTTGTTTTTCTAAAGTGCTCAGAGATGTCACACAACTATATCAGATTTAGGTGTTATTAAGTGTAGATATTAGCTGTTGTCCTGTAAAATGTAGTGTGCAAACACATTGAAAACTGTTGTGGGATGCAGGGAGAAGTTTGATATTTGAATATAATTTTACATCTTTC